ATTTGTAAAATTAACATTTAACGGGTATTTTTTACTGTTGTGATATGGTTTTCAGAATTCCTTCCACAAACTGAATTATGTTTGTTCATCAAGGAAAAAAAAAAAAACCCTGACATTTGAACAAAAAGTGTTTTGAAAATTTCATGTACTATATATTTTGGGGTAGGGGAGAACAGTCTCAAACGTTTTCTTGTAACGATATGCCCTAAGTCATGGGTTCCCAAACTTTCTGAGCACAAGGATCCCTACAACATTGCTCATCCTAGCTGAACTTCCCCCCCCCCCAAGTGAACCAATAGGTACTGAGTATCTCCACAGTATCGTGTGTATTTTGTGTCAGAAGCGCCACTTCATAAAAGAGGTAAAGAAGCCTGACCTCGCGTGGATCCCCCAGTTCAGCTAGAGGCCCTACGCTATAAGTAATTTACATAGATGTGTTAATCCGGCCTGACTAAAATGTATCTCACACAAAGTGCGATTTGTCCCCCCCTCCTAAAAATAAGACATCCCTATTTTGTGTCCTCTAGTTTGGGAACCTTTGCCCTAAGTTATTGATTCAAGCATGTACATTCTTCTGACGCTTCATTCTCACTAACCTTGCGTTTTCAATATATGAAAAAAAACAAAAAAAAAACGCAGAGTGATAATTTTGACTTAACAAATTCTAGAAGTTTGGTATTGTGTCTATAGATATTTCATACAATTATGTACTGTTTCTTTCTTGTTTTTTTGTAGTTGTGGTTGTTTCAAGAAGTGTAGTAAGACATAAACTTTTTTGTTTTGCCGTATTTTATACTTTTCTAGTACCTTTAAAGAAATGTGTGTAGGAGGTTTTTATTTATCATACAGTACTCGAGAAATACCGGAATGGTTGGTTCTGGCATTCCAATTGTATTAAATTGTCAGTTTTATTGTTATACTGTGTTGAATAATGGAAAACCTTATTTTATTGTTAGACTACAGCCCTATTCACCGAGACCCAGTAAACCTTCAACAATTGTGCCACACGATAGTATTTTCCCTTAGTTGGCGTATTTGATAAATCTGTATTTCAAGTTTATTCTATTTTTTTTTATCAAACTTTGTTGAAACTTGTCATCAGAATATTTTACGATCATTGGTCTGGGGTCGCGAATACTACTACCTCTGTCTTTCTTTCCCCCGTGAAAACTGGCACTACCGTCAATGCCCCCTTTCCTAACTGCTGCTGCTTTTCAGGCGAATAAAATTCGATCTTGGCACTGCACGCTGAGCAACAATGTTTTCTGATAATTGTTTATATTTGCTTTGTCACAATGACGCTGTATACACGTGAATATTAACCATTTCCGTATCAGTATTCTATTAATTTTTCTCTAGCTTTATACACACACACACACACATGTGTAGCATTTTCTACTTCATTCTATAGTAACTGCTCCCATGCAAGTGGTCGAAAACGACCTCGCATATACAGTCACTCCCCCACAAAACTCGGAAACCAGCCTATACGACAAATATATCGTTCTGTGATCCTTAAGACTTGCGGAGGAGTTTACATAAGGTCAAAGAATCATTAGGATTTGTTTTATATGTCACACACAGCAACGGCATACATAAGTAATTTCACCACAGGGAATTCCTGCAATGCAATGAGGACTGAACGAAAAGAGCAGTCATACTGATAAACCACGTACGATATACATTGTCCGTAACCCACGTGATCTAAACTCTCTGTGTATATTCCATCGTGTAGGGATTGTGTATGTTGCTCCGTCTAGAATAAATGGCTTCCACCCTCTTAAGATTGGTGATTAAATAATCGTAAATGAAAGTTGAACGAAACTGTTAATGAATACTCAGTATAATCGTAAAAACGTACGTCATCACCATTGGGTATCTATTATTATACCCGGAGACAGAGACTCGCCCCAGCAGTTACAAAAATCGACCTTAGTTTACTTGAGATTTGTGTAATATACTGCCAGATTAGGGTACAGTAAGGTTATATTTGTTCAGCATTAATGAATTTCCAAAAACAAAAAAAGACCAAAAACTCGAGCGCTTTCGAATAGTAAACTTTATTCTCCTGAAGAAGAACAGTCAATTATTCGAAAACGCTTGAGTTTTCGGTCTTTTTTTTTAATTCGTCGCACCTTTTGTGTGTGATTCTGTGTACTAACTGTGTTATGAGAATTAACCTTTATTAATGTACTGTTTTGAGTCATCAGCAAAGCGGTTTTCGTGATATCCGATACAAAAGGTGTGGAACTTTGGAGAAATATTTCTTATTCAAAGGACTAAATGTTAGAAAAATTTACCTGTCCTCACCCATGTCACACATAGAAAAAAGTAGAATGTAACATTTAGGGTTGAGCTTTTATTTGACGGTGAACATAATCAAAACAATGGCATTGGTCAGTCCATTTCACCGGAAATGGAGTATATACTGAGTTTTGGATCTGAAGTGTTCACCTATATTCGCTCATGTATCATATAGTTTTTAACAGTTAACCAGTATATTTTACAGCGTGGGATATAAAATACCCCACACACAAAGGGATAAATAAATCATGTTTTTTAATAATGCTACCACAAACTAAAATAGTGTTTAATATATAATAATAATAAAGCTTTTTGTAATTTTTTACTATGTTATATATTCTCCCTAGAGGTGGCAGTCAAACTACTGGTCTTCTAATTTAGACAGAAACAACCTTTTATCATCGTTATCTTTGTTACCGTTTGTGTGTGTGTGTTTCAGTAGTTCACAAACCGTCAGTGAGTTAAGTATATTCTGGTTTGGGGTTTAGGGGTACGCATTTCTGAATGTTTTGTCTGTGCACTAAACTTTTGAAGTTCAGAATATTCGGGAACTTGTGTTACTCCCTAGAAATCTACTCAGGGTGTTTTTCTTATAGCAATAGAACGGACGATGTGAGAAAAAAACCAAAAAAAAACCTGTACAACGGGCAAAGTATTACAGTTAATCTTGTTGTCCTCGTGGTAGGGCGCTGTGATTCCCACACCTGTGCCAGATAGTGGATTGTATTTGGATAGCTTAGTTAAATTATATTTTTATCTTCTGTATTTAGTGTATGTAAACCCAGTCACGCATGTTTCTGATGTTCATGTAAAAGAAAGAGAAAGGAAGAACCAATTTCTTGTATTAGATGTTTGGATGATTTATAATTCTACAACCTCCACCCCATAGTGTACCTTAACCTAACACTTCATAGCTAACTGAAAATAATATAAAAAAAAAATTGCAAAATCAAGCTTGGCCAACAAAGAGGCAGAAAAGTGCAGTCGAGGCAGTCAAACGTCTGTAATTTCCTTTGTGAGCCAATCAAAATTACGATCATTCATGTAATGAATTCGTGTCGAATTCGTATAATAATTATTGGTAAAAATCAGTTAGATTAACAACTTCTAATATATATATATAAAAGCCAGTGCGTTTTGGTAACACTACGTTCCAACAATGGCATTTATATCATGTTGCTTAGCAACAAAAGTTTAACCTAATATTGTTCTTGATCTATGTACTGAAAGTATAAAATGAAATGTATAGACAACAAAACTGGAAAAGTATTTGTTGATTTCTTAATTTAATCTCCGTTTAGGCTTATTATACCAACACTCACTACACTTATAAAGTTTCACGGCCCTCTTGCACCCCCGTCACTAAAATCGTAATGGACAGTCAGTAATCAAACTATTCTATCTGGATAAATACATTTTGGTTTTTATTACTCCTCCTATTTCGAAAAATCAAGAGAAATCAAGCCTGACATGACACACACTGGCTTCTATATAGGCTAGATAAGCGGGGGCGAAAGGAACGGGTGAGATATAACTCCCCTAGATTTGTTTAGAGGGTGCAAGCGGGAGCATCAGCTCAAGTAGAAAATTCCGATTTCTGTGGTGGACCATAACATCAGGGAAATTTCCATTCGTGAACATTAAAGAAACAACATACGCATACACACTCACACACATATATATATAGTATCACCACAGTTGGTCACTAGTTACTCAACAGTGATACCCTTAATGTATTGTTTCTGAAAATTTCAGGCTCACTGAAAGTCGACCTCCCCCTGGCAAAAAGAAGTTCGTACATCACTGTATATAGCTGTAAAGTTTACACGGAATATGAAAGATTAATGAAATGGGTGTTATGTACAATTCAGCGTTATTTTATTACGAAACTGGATCTTGATAAACCAATCATTACAACTATTCAGAATATAAAGTTTAATATGTCGTAATGGTTTACAATAGCATGATGTTTAGGTGGACATATAATAACTTTAACCGTGATCGTAAATTTCACCTTAGCTAAAAAAAAAATAGAAATTTAATAGAATTCTCAAGTTGTAGGAAATTTCGAATATTGTCGACCGTTAGTTTTTTTTTTTGTTTTTAGTTTTTCGCATATAGGATTAGAAGATTCTGAGACGTTTTCAGTTTAGAGACGTTAAAATGTGTGAAACGTGACTCGTCATAATATTGCTCCTCTGTGCTCATTAAGGTGTATTGGCGAAACAAAAAAAATGTTCGAAATTTCCGGAGTGGGAATTAATCCTGTCCGTTGTAAAATACTATTAACGTTTTACGGTTGGCTTTCACTTAGATAAAGTATTACATAACATATTTTATTAGCCGCTAGATGCCGCCTTATATGTAGCGTAGGACTGTGTGTAAAGCGTTTCAATCACACACACACACACACACACACACACTTATCGTTATCTTTGTTACCGTTTGTGTGTGTAGTGACTGGTACGGTTTGTAGAACTACTA